TACCTGTTCGGATTACTTGTGCTTCCGCTCAAAAATAGGATCCAAAAGAAAATCTTCGCGTTGGAAGAATTATTGTCCGCAACATTGTGACGCGGCTATGGACTTTTCTTACAAAACGATTTTCAAAGTTTTTAAAATTGTTTTTCGAATGGCGCAGAGTATGAATCGTAGCTCTTGAAGAGCTCCATCAGCTCATGCAATTACAACATTTTTTCACACATATTTTCCATCTGAAAATGAGCCATGAAGGGAGGGAGGTTTGTTCGCAACTTTTTGGCGGTCACTGCACATATGATATAGAAATTTTTTGTTGCCGTCAATGCCTTAATCACGCTTCCGAGGCAGAATTTTTTATGTTCCTTTTCTTTTACCACTTTCTCAACCTTATGGGGATCTACAGACGCTCAACGTATGAACAGTCTTTTCGATGTTGTAGCGCGTAGTTCGTTCTATCGTTTGTGTTGTGAATAATGCTTGCTGGTGATTTCTCACTTAATTGAATTCGTTTTGTGTGGTATCATCAACGCAGCGCGATTTCTTTGTTGGAAATTTTCATAGGCCAGAAACCACCACATCGTATATACTCCTTTTAGATCTCTAAAATGTTTGCCGCGCGCTCCGCTCAGCTGTACGGAACTTGCCTTGTGCCAGTTGGTTTTCTCTTACATTTTTTATAAAGTTATATTCACAAAAACTGAGTTCGGTGCTGTAGTTATACCATAATCACTTGCTTCTTTTTCAAGAAAAGCGAGGACGAAGTGAAAAAGCAGGACACAACATTGTTGCTTCATTTATTTGGCGTAAGTGGTAATGGAAAGCTATCTTTCGAAGAATTTAGGCGGTAAGTATTATTTCCTCATAGACTGTATAGATGATTTGTATATCCACTACATTTGTAACTTGATATTTATCATAGTTTCTATGAGAATCTACAAGAGGAGATAATGGAGATAGAGTTTCATGAGTTTGCTCGTGGCAAACCTACTATATCCCCAATGGACTTCGCTCGCTTAGTCCTAAGGTAGTTTTGGAAATGGTTGTGACCTCTGACTTATGAATCTCATATCCGAATATAGGTACACCGTCGTACATCAGGATGATTACCACACCTACATAAATCGAGTCAAAGAACGTACCTCTCCAGACGATAAAGTGGGTACTTTGACTAGAAATGTAAAAATTGCTTCCATCATTTTTAGGGTGTAACTTTGAGCCAGTGGTCCCGTTTCTCCTTGTTTCTCAATAATCTTGAAGAATTTGCTACAGCCGTCAGACTCTATGCAAATGCTGACATGCCCGTATCGCCTGCTGAATTTGCTCGTGCAGTTCAAAGTACTGTAGGTCAGTGTACAAGAATTATTTT